CTCTCTCTCTCTCTCTCTCTCTCTCTCTCCCTCCGCCTTTCCGCGCCTCCTTTTGCTCAGTTCGATTCGCTCAAATCGCGCTTGCAGGTCAAGTATTACCCTTCCATTTGGGCGTGCGGCAGAGCGGTTTTGAAGGAGGAAGGTCTCAAAGGCTTCTTCAGAGGTGAGCGAGCTCGAGTGAGGATGACGCGCGGTGTGCCTCGCGTCGCGCCAAGCTCCAGCAACTCGAAGTTGCGACGTCGCAGTGATGCTGTATGGCAGGTGCTGATGATGCCCATGCGCGGCGAAAAGCGGGCGGTGGCGAGGGGCACGCCAAGCGTGGTTGCCGTCTCATCCCAGCTGACCAACCTGCAACGCTTGATCTCCCCTCTCTGCAGGCGTCTGGATTCCACTCATTACCATCAGCTTTGTTCGCACATCATCCTTTTCCATATACGTCTCGACGAAGGAAGCGCTGCATCGTAGAGGCGTCTTCGCTGAAGCTCCCAACAATCTGGTGCACACTGCGTTGAGCGGTGCTGCGGGTGGAGCTACAAGCGGGGTACTGATTAGGTGCGTGTCGGTCTAGCCACTGATGTCACAGCTCGGTGCTAGCAGCGGTCGATTCTTTGTGCTGCACCACGTGCCTGAACATCGCTCTGTGCCGCCCGCTCACTCGACCACTGCCCTGTCTGACCTTCGCACAGCTGTGGTTCAGCGCCTTTTGAGCTAGTCAAAGTCCAGCGGCAATTAGAGTACCTCACGGCTGTGCAACAAGGCTTGATTAGCAGTAGCAGCGACAGCAAGGGAGGCAACAAGTATAGGGCTCAATCCGGTTTCCAAGCTGCTAGCAATATCTGGAAGAATCATCGAGGCCCGCGGGGTTTCTATCTCGGCTTCCCTCTGCACATTTGCAGGGATACGCTGGGAACGGGTGAGTCGATGATCTCGTAGCGCTGATGCAGCGGAAGAGGCGCTCATTGGACGCATCGAGACTTGCTTCTGCAGCCCTCTACTTTGGTTTCTACGACACCATTAGAGCCTTGGTCGGCCGACATACTACCACCAAGCCGGGCAGCGGAGGCTCGCCTGAATTGTGGGGCTTGCCCGGACCGGTCGTTTCTTTCGCGTCAGGATCAACGGCTGGTATCGCATCTTGGCTGCTGGGTGAGTGCCGAGCTCATCATCGAGTCGCAGAGTCATGCTGACCAAAAGGCTCGAGCACTTTTCACACCGAGCAGTCTACCCGGTGGATCTTCTCAAGACAAATGTGCAGCAGCGCGCGCTCTCGAATCATCCCCAGCAACTTACGGGATGGCAGCTGTTTCAGCACTTGATGAGGGAAAAGACGAGTCCCAGCGGATCTGCAGAGGGCGGATCGATAAGGAGATTCCTGAGGCTCTATAGAGGATTGGGCGTCTCGGCACTTAGGAGCTTTGTAAGCCACGGACTTACGTGGAGCCTGATCGAGACTATCCAGGCCAGGATCGACGAGAGGACTAGATACATGCGCGAAGGCGTGTGAAGCTTCGCCTACCACCTGTTCCACCCTCATGCGCAGTCTAGACTCTTTAGCCACCTCTCCGACGCGACGGTCTTGCATTACCATGAATAGAAAGCATAATCAAGGTCCGGACGAGCGCTTTGCCGGGCTGTTTTTGGCAGATGGGTGCGCCCACATTACGCCGCGGACAAGTTGGGACCAGCGCCTCTAGGCAGCGTCTTTTTTTTCGAGGCGGCGGTCGAACAATCGACGACTGTAAAAGAGCTTTTGTGGTCCGCTCTTGAAGGTTTTGCAATGGCCATCGGACGTGAATGCGGGGCGACCGGCGTGGCGCACAGGACAGCGAGCATCCAGAAAAATGCGACGCAAGAGACGCGCGGGGAAGTGTCTGCGGTACGAGTGGACGCGAGGCACAGGACCTGCGAAACGTTTTGGCGACATTTGCGGCGATGGCCTGGGGTGACGTGACGGTGACGGTGACGGTGAAGAGAGCCTCTGTGGAAGGCACATCACATGGGACTCGGTCAGCATTTTTGCGACAGCGAGCCGATTTTGAGGAGCGGCTGCATGGACCGGCCAAGCGTCGCGGGAAGCCCGCCCGCGCACGAGCAGTCTTGAGTGTGGAGCCGGGCATCACGTTTACGGCCCGGCAAGATGTTGCGCGTCGTGTGAAACGTGTGTAGCGCTGTAGAGAGACGCGAGCGAGCCTGTCCTGCTCCCTCCCTTTCCACAGCCGTGCGTGCAGTGCTTCGCATCGCTCCCATCGCCATCGATTACGAATTGGAATCATTTGATGGACGTGTACACAACTGCCCTCCCACAGGCTGAGATGAGGCTTCGGGCCTTTTCGCAACACGGGTGGATTCCTGATGACCGCGTCGGATTGAAGCGTGGTCACCGATGTGAGCAAGCGGCCTTCTGAGCGGGCGTTTGAGATGCTTCCTTTGCGCTTCTCAACAGGGCTCTCTCTCATAGCCGTTCACATGACCAGCATTCACGATCAGCGGCATGCATGCATGCATGCTGTCTGCAGGATTGCAACATTCTTAACTGCCAACGTGACTTCCATGAGCGCACTGATTGCATTGCTCCGCGATAGACTCCCCGCAAAAGATCCAAAGGCGGGCGAGCCTGGCTGGCGCAATCGTAGCGCATCCGCTTCCGGATTATTGCTCAGTCGAGTGACAAGCTTGGAGATTTGCGGAAGGTTAGGGGTTCAAGTCCCCTGTTAGGTTTTTTCATTGCAGACGCAGCTAGCGCCTTTGTTTCCCTTTGCAGGCCATGTGACACAGTAGACACATTTCATTCATTAAGAAGGAATTAGTGATTCTTACAGAATGATCACGATTACAACCCACTGGAAAGCTGAGCTTTCGCGGTATGCGCTCCGTTGAGCAGCACTCGCGCGCGCCCGCCCGCGCTTCTAACTCATGCGGTGAGAATCTGAATGTCCGCGCTGACAACACACGCGCGCGCGAAAAGGCGGCTATGGGGCGATGATGAACTGCCCGACTGCCGACATGCAGCATTGAGGCACGGGAGCCGTGACGTGTAGTCTCCTATACGTGACGAGACGAGAGGCGCAGATTCTCGAGATTACGTTGCGCGCCGCCTGCTTCTCCGCGCGCACTTCTTCAGCCGCTTGGTTGGGGCTGTGTGTAGTCCCTCGCTCACCGAGGATTTCCTCTGCGTAAGCCCCACATTGCGGATCGATAGACGGCGCGGCGCGCTGGCCGCACTTGCTGTCACACGCACATCCTGTGCTTTGCCATGTCACTCCGCCTACAACATCCACGCCCATGCCTTTACGAAGCCTGACGCTCCATGTTTCGGCGCAGCTCCACGGACCTCGACCCGCATGCAAGCGCTCCGGTCGCGTGTGTCTACCAGACATTGCTGCTGTGTGACAGCCAGGAACGGATGGCAAGCTTATTATCCGAGGTTCACCAAATAGAGGAGCTGAATTCTTTCTCTCTCAGGGCACACGGGGCAGCAATGAATTTTTGTCGCACCTGCGAGCGTTCGAATACAGACGAGAGCTCTCGACACGCGGGTGAAGCTAGTCGCTCGGCAACTAGCAGCTCGAGTGGGGAATTGACGGGAACGCTTACACAGGAGGGCGACCAAAGCTAAGCGGATAGCCCGGCTGATCCCTGCCGCAGTGAGACCTTGAAGTTTGGGACTTGCGATCAAAATTCAACTTTACGCGCTGTTCGTTGCACATCGACGGGAGCGACATGCTGTGCTTGTGCGGGACAAGTTTCCTCGGACCACGAGCAAGTAGCTTCAAAAGTGGCGATACTGCTGAGTCATGATCGTTGCGCGGTTCACCTGGCCGGAAGTAAATTCATTGGCGCAAGAGTCGTCCGCGTAATCCATAATGTTGTGGATCGGGTCGAGACCCGGCATCTCTGGGCAGGTGTCCTTGCCCTCTGGGCAACCCTTTGACTGCACCCGCTCTGCTGGGGTGTCCCCGACTTGGTCGCCTCCGTCGCAATATCCTTCAAACGGATGTTCGAGGCCCACCCAATGACCAGTCTCGTGACTGATCGCACGGCCCATGTTAAAGCTGGGAATTGCGCCGCCCGGAACGGTTCGGTAGTCTACTATGATGCCGTCGCTATCCGGATCGTCCTGGTAATCGGTAGGGAAGCTGGAGTAACCAACCAGCCCCTCATCGTACAGGTTGGTCGTGTAAATGTTGAGCGTCTCTACTCCACCCTTCTTCAAGGCTCTCTGCATCAAGCGCTTAGAAGCTTCTCGCGGAAACGCGTTGTTGAACCAATCCGCATTCGTGACGACGTCTGCGGAGGTCAAATGGAACTGGAATGGCATTCCTGCCCTGGCGTAGTCGTCGTTGAGCTTTGACATCTGTGCAGCCTGCACGTCTGGGCTTATCGAGCCGCGTGTGCCATCGGTGATGATGTGCCAGACAACGGGGACAGTGGTCACGCCGACGAGCGAGGCGGCCGTGCTGCTGCTGTTGCTCGCCGCCGCTTTAGCGTGCTTCAGAGCCGCGATCCGCCTGTTGATATCGGCCTTGTTGGGCTTATTCTTGGCGGTGGTGCTGGCGCACACCTGTACGTGCCCTGTCTTGCGTGGCTCCAAACGTGCCGCAGCTGGGCCGCTCGACATTGAGGCTACTAGAGCGACCGCAGCGGCGACAAAGATGGCAAAGGCGAATTTGGTCATGGTGGTGTCGCGTCGAGAGAGGAAAAAGGAGTTACGCCGAGTGCGGAAAGGGTTTGCGGAGAAAAAAGAGTTGCGCACTTGATGCTGCCCCGTATTTAAGGCTGTCCAGACCGGCAGCGCCGCACATCAAGCGCGTCATACGAATACCTGCACCCCTGCAGTCCGAGTCGTACCTATTCACCTTGGGCAAGAACGAATGGCGCGGCTTGTGGGCATCTTGAGTTTCAGTTTCATGTCGAAGGCCACTCGGGAGTCAAGAAGATGGGCCAAAGTAAATCTGTGCGGCCCGCCGGAACAGGGTCCGGAGCAAATGAAGCTCATCAAATGTCCATGCTACCCGGCAGCTCTGGGCGCCAAAATCTAATTTCATCCAGCATGACGTCCTTCGCTCGATCGCGCGTTGGGCTCACTGAGACCACTCGCTGCACCTCGAAGCAGACCGCAGTGTCTCGAGCCGCTTTGCTTACTGCAGCTAACCCCAAATCCGAAGAGCCAGGTACACCGCGCGCCCGGAATGACATGTCAAGGGACCAAGTCGTCTGACTCCGGCAAGTGCTCACTGGCACGAATGCTACCACGACAAGGGCCAGCTGGATGCCAAAGCCGGCTTCGCCCAAAGGTCGTGCAAACAGAGTGCCTCTCGTCGCAAATGAACAACGCATCTAACTTGCCAGATGAGACCAGTGCGCCAATCAGGTGTGAGCGACTTTCTTTTGCTTCTCGGTCGACGACCGTTCTTTGAGGTTCAATTCGCCGTGCCTACCAGAGAAACGTCCCGTATTGGAGTTGCGCACACATCGCATTCACTCAAACCTGCTGCCGCAATCGCAAAGCCGCAGGTGCTCTCCCAGGCACCAGCCGCATCCCTCATATTCTTCATAGTGACGTGTGCGGGCCGAAGACAATTATGCCATCATTGGGATTGCCCACTTTGGAGGGCGTAATCTTGTATATTTACAGCTGGGCATCGCTCTTGCAGGCGGCGCGAGTTTTTGCCGGGCAACACGCTCTGCACAATCAATCGCAGCGGAGGGGGCGGTGGGCACTCGGAGCATGGCATGCGGCACTTGAAGCAGATGACGCACAGAAGTACACAATTGCATTGTGCTTGTGATTGTGGTGCGTGCAAGTGCGAGTATGGCATGTGTGGGAGTACGTGTGTAGCAACGCAGCTCAGCGGTGACAAGCAGAGACATTGCTATTGCAGGCAATATTCTGTGTTCAGCAGACAGAAGGGCAGGGAACAAGCAGTTGAAGGAGTTTGAGACAAGGATAGAGGAGTTAAAGAGTCAGTCAGTAAGAGGGTTTTGTGCAATGGATTGGGCAGTGAAGAGTCAGTAAATGAGAGAGATTTGAGGACTTGAGAGTCAGTAAACAAGAGAGTGGGTAAACAAGCAGGGGGGGTCAAGCTGGTAAATGAGAGTGTGTTAGTGCAAGTAAATAAGAGAGGTGGGTGAAGAAGAACGGGATCAGGTGATGTTAGTGTGTGTTAATGAGAGAGTGTGGCAGAGAAGCAAGAAGGAAGTGAGAGAATGTTAGTGTGTGTTGATGAGAGAGCTGTGGGAATAGAGGGTCAGTGAGGGGGGGAATGTTAGTGCGTGCTAATGAGA